AATAAATGTTTGTTGTTTTCAGCTGCTAAATTTTGGTATAATGCTTGAACATTTCAATAGCTAACACAGCACGCTCAATTGCTGTGGACTGGCTTGCTTCTTTTGAGATGTTGGCTTCTTACTTTTTCTGTAGAACCAGTCTAGTCCCACTTGAGTTTCAACCAAGGGTAAACTAGTGAACTTCTCTGAAAACCCAGCTTCTTCAAATATGGGGATTGGTTGAGCCAAATTATTTCAAAAAGATTTCTTCGATCACTGAAATTCTGTCCCTTCTATATATTCTCAGCCTCTGCTTTCAGTTCCCTCAAAAACAACATCATCAAAGAATATGAGAACTAGTGGCTAGAACCAACCAAAATTTTATTCACACTTGAGGGTGGAGGATCTTGGATTCCAGGTTGACCCTGGGTGGTGAAAGGGTAATACTTATTATGGGGGCCAGGCCTAGAGGTAGCAGAACAACAGCTATCTAACTGAATTTTCAAAATCTCTCTTTAGTAGAAAGTATTTCTCCTTTCTTTCTTATTCTCAATTGTCCCTTGACTCTGGCCACACTGACCTCAGTGATACTTAGGGTGGCCCCCGGAATATCAGAGATAGAAGCATAAAAGGAAGGGGTCCAGAGAGGTCTAGACTGGATGCAGAGAACTCAGTGAGCGAGATGGTTGACTTCTCAATCCAAGATTTGTAGAAACTGATGTTTTTGTATACTTCAGGCTCATTGGTTCGCATGCAATTGGAACCCCAGCTCAGTACTCCTGCCAGGACCCAGAAATCCTTGACTTCGCACATCAGAGGGTCTCCTCTGTTGCCCTGAGGAGAAGAAAGAGTTGGGGAAAGGAAAGGAAGTGAGAGCCACTAGGTGTTTGACCCAGGCCTGTGGAGTTAGAGACTGTCCAGACAGCTCTGAGCACACCCAGAGATTCCAAGGATATGAGACAAGGAGAAAGCACTCTGGGGAAGAGAATGGGTGGTTTCTTACAATACACTGATCTGTTTGGCCCACTGGGAGCTTGGAGCAGATCATGTCTTCACTGATGGTGGGCTTCACTGCATGCGACAAGCTTTCTTTCTGATAGTAGTCGTTGCATGTCTGGAGATCAATGAGAGACACTTTCACCTCCTTCATCTTATAAGAGTTGACATCTGTAATATCAGAACGGGTACAAATTATCTTAAAGAGTTAGGAAATTACTTTCACCTATGGTTATATTCATATTTTCAAGGATAGCCCTGGTTTCAAATACTCTGCCTTTACAGTAGACAACATCCTGAATTTTGATCAGGGAAATAGCCTACAAACTGAGCTCCCTGGCTCTGAACAAGGCTGAGGGGGGAGGGGGTCACTCTCACTTAGCTGGGACAATGTACAGCTAAAAAACACTTTTTGTTCAGGAAATCCAAAGCAGTAGATTGTTGTTGTCAGATGCCATCAAGTCAGAACCGACTCATAGCGACCCATGCACAGCAGAACAAAACAATGTCCGATCCTGGGCCATCCTCACTACCGCTGCCACACTGTGTCCATCAATGCTGCCACCTAGGCAATCCATCTCGTTGGGGGTCTTCCTCATTTTCTCTGACCCTAAATAGTTTGACTTTGGAATAATTATATTTGTATATAGAAATAAAAGGCAGGCCTAATGTCGCTATGGAGTCCTGGTGTGGCAGTGTGGGTTAATGCACCAGACTACAAAGCCTTTTAAACTGCAAGGTCAGCTGTTCAAGCTCACCAGCTGCGCCTTGGAAACCCTATACAGGGTTGCTTTGGGTCAGAACTGACTCGACGGTACTTCACAACTCAACAATGTCGCTATGAGTCGGAACTGACTCCAAGGCACATAACAACAACAGTATTCTTCAAGGAAGTGAGGCTATCGACACTGAAATAAAGCAATACTCTCAGTCTGACTTGGAGACGTGATCTGCAGCCTCACTCTGCTGAACTTGTCTCTTTGACTGCTTCCTCTACTCATCTACCTACACGCGTTCCACCCAGGTGCGGTGAGGGAGCTAGCTACATTACTCCTCAGACAAAACAGAACTTGCAATCTATGCTTAGCACATAGGAGTCCTTGGGCTGCATAAAAGGAGTTCTGGTGGTACAATGGTTAAAGTGCTCAGCTACTAACCAAAAGGTTGGTAGCTAAAACCCACCAGCTGTTCTGTGGGAAAAAGATGTGGCAGTCTGCTTCTGTAAAGATTACAGCCTTAGAAACCCTATGGGGCAGTTCTGCCCTTTATGGTTCCTGTGAGTTGGAATCAACAGAGTGGCAGTTGGTTTGCATTTTGAGTGGGTTGCATAAACACATGATTTCTGAATTCCTAGCCAAGAGCTTGGCAGTTTGAACCCACTCAGGTACCTCAGAAGGCAGGTCTGGTGATTTACATGTGAAAGGTTACAGTCTTGAAAGCCCAATGGAGCACTTGTACTCAGGACAAATGGGGTTTGCCATGAGTTAGAATCAACTTGTTGCCACCTAACTCTTAACAACTACTACTGCCAAACCAAGGAGCTCTGGTAGCATAGTGGTTCGGAATCGGGCTGCGAACCTCAGAGTCAGCAATTCGAAACTACCAGTTGTTCGTGGGAGAAAGATGACGCTTTCTGCTCCCGTAAAGATTTACATCCTCAGAAACGCTGTACAGGGTTGCTATGAGTCAGAACTGACTCCACGGCACATAGCAACAACAACAACAGCTGCTAAACAAGAGCAAAAGTGGGAATTAATAAGCAAAGAGATTACATCAGAAGAGATATGAAGGATGCAAAGAAAAAAGATACAAGGTCAAGGACATTGAAGTCCCTGTGACCTGTAGAGTAACTGCCTGGAGAGTGCCTTGTATAGCTGGTGCTAGATATGGGATAGAGAGCAGGGGGACGATGTCAGTTGAGGCAATTGTGGTGGTGGTGGTGGTCCGCTACTGAGTCGGTTCCAACTCATAGCGACCACATATAGGGTTTGTGAGGCTATAAATCTTTTTGGGAGCAGAAAGCATCATCTTCCTCCTAAGGAGCAACTGGTAGATTTGAATTGCTGGCCTTGCAGTTAGCAGCCCAGCTCCTAATCCAGTACGCTACCAGAGTGCCTTTAATTGAGGTAATATTGTTGTAAAGTGCCAGTGAGTCGATTCCAATTCATAGCGACCCTGTGCAAGGTTTCCAAGGAGAAGTTGGTGGGTTTGAACTGCCACTGTTATGGTTCACAGTCCAGTGCTTATCCGAAATTTACTTATCCTCACATTTGTGTGTGTCAGAATAGCTCCATCCAGTCACCCAGCAGGAGGTTATGTTCTTCAGCTGCTCTGCAGATGAGGGGAGGCAGATGGGCAGGATGACAGGGCTAACAGAAACAGGGTAGGCCAGCTCTACCACAGCGATAGCATTAGATGTATTTCCCTGAATGTCAGAATGGGGGATAATCCTGGACACAGGTATAATCATTTTGGGGTCTAAGAGACCAAAGACGTGAAGCGATCCCACCAATACTTGGTATTTTCTGATGTCTTGGGACCTGAGAGGAAGGAAGCAAAAAAGGTTTTTGTGAGACTGCCATGGAATGTCACAACAGAGGTCATTGTTCTGGAGATTAGTGATGCCCTCTGCCTCTTCATAACCATTCATTAATTCCCTCAGCTATTATTGGACCTGTCCTGAAATACAAGTGAGAAAATGATAGTCAGGAACTGGCATTCTTTTTTTTTTTCTTAAGTGTTTTATTGTGAATTATGTGATAGTTTACATGGGAGAACATTAATTTTACATTCATTCTGTCGTAGGAACATTCTTATGGTTATATATATGTAATGGAAGAGAGATCTGTAACAAACAAACAAACAAGTACAACGTTTAAAATGGTGAGAAGTGTTAGGAAGCAAAAAACCAGGATTTTAAAGACCGAATAAAGGAAGAGGAAAGAGTCTTTGGATTGGGGGTTGAGGATGGTCTCACAAAAAAGTGGGAGTCAGCCATACAAAAAATTATAACAGAAAGCATTAAAAATCATGCCAGACACAGGAAATAGTATATGCAAAGGTCCTGAGGGTGAGAAAGAGCTTGGCAGTTTGTAAAAACAGAAAGAAGAGCTGGAGCTAAATTGACTGAGGTTGGAAAAGTAAACAGTTGCCTCCTAATTCATGGCTTGAAAGCTGCAATGAAGCATTTGGGTTTTATTCTAGGTATATGGACAGCCGGTGAAGGATTTGAAGTAGGGTGTAACATGATTTCATCTTTTTAAAAACAAAAACAAAAAAACATCACTGATGTGTGGCAGATGGACAGGAGCAAAATCTGATGTGCTGTTGCAGTGGTCCAGAGCAACCAGGCTAGAATCCGTATATATTTTAGATGTAGAACTGAGAGGACTGGTGTGTGGATTGGATGTGAAGGGAGGCATCTTATTTCTGGCGTTAGCAACTGGCTGTAGTGTTGAATGGGTTGGGGGAAGGAAGAGGAGAGAGAAATGTAGTTTGGGGTATCCTAGAGAATGGTGGTGGCAAAGAAGTAGTTCTGTTTTGACTATATTATCTTGGTGATGTCAGTGAGATGTGAAAATATGTCAGGATTAGTGTTTGGGGCTAGAGACATAAATGTAGCTGTTATCAACAAATAGATGATGTAGTAAACCATGGGATGGATGAGATCACCTGGGGATGGTCAAAAGGGCTCAGGATCTAACAACCAGAGGATGTGTCATGAGTCATGATAGGGACATGCTGGAGAAGGAGGGGCCCTCCCTGGGGAACATTTCCTAGGGTAGAGGCTTAGGGGAGGGGAAAGCATTTTCCCTCCTGTCACTCCAGTTGTGATGATTGTCAGTGTGATGAAGCTTTAAGTTTGAGAGTAGTTGAATGGAACTAAGAGCTAGGGCTGGAAAGACTTGCATCTACTTCTAAGTTAGGGCACACTCTATTAGGTGGTACAATTAAGCCCCTCAACCTAGGCGCTCCAGTCACCCAGGCCCCCTGGTGGGTCTCTCCCCAGCGAAACCAGCACTCACTTGAAGCAGCTCGCCACCGTCAGCACCCACTGCTGTGAAATGAGGGTGCCTGCACACACATGAGCCAAGTCCTGGCGGATGCTGACCTGCCAGGGCCACTGCCCCACGTTGGCGTCCCAGCCTGAGACGATGCTTGTTAAGACTGCTGGTCGACCACAGACTGTGGACAAAGAGAAGAAGGCCTGGTAGGACCCACCTGAGCCCTGGCACCCTGGCCCCACCCTTCCCTGCTTATTCCAACTGTTGTTCTCTCGCCTCCTGGACATAGTCCACCCAGTTAAGGGCACTGTACTTGTCTTTAAGAGATCCTCTGGTTCCTCCTCATCTGCACCTAGGGAGAGAGAAAGGGGATTGTGGGAACTATCCATCATAGATTCTTGTTCCTTGTGGGGTAAGTGGCAGGGAAGGAGAGGGGCTACCCCATTCCCTGTGCAGCCTTTCTTGAATTGGAATCCCTTGGGCCCAACTGGGATTTTCCTAACCTGAGATTCTCAATAGAAGGATCAGTAGGAAGGTGTACCCAACAAGGTCCATGTCTCTGTCCTCAGGATCAGTGTGTCCTCCTTGAACTCAGGTTGCCAGGGAGGAGCTGACTGAGGACCAGCAGGAAGTGGAGGGCAGGACTAGATGGATTCCTCTACTTCACCCGTCTCCCCTTCAGTCTTCACCCACCCTTTCTCTCAGCCCCTGCCAGACACTGAGGGACAGGACTTTAGAAATGTAGCTGTAGGCCTCAGGGGGAGGGGCTGAAGCCTGAGGCGCCCCCTGCTGTCCTGGGAGAGCAGGGTGTCTGAGCAACTACCTCTGGGGCGGGGGATGGGAGGCGGCCAAAGGAGCAGATTGCAGTTCTTGAAAGAAACGGGGCCTTGCTCAGTGCATAGTGACCCTGGTATGTAATCAGTCTGTCCTCTCAGGCGGTCTCTCTTCCCATCAGCCTGTCACATCTCAGGGACCCTGTTCTAGGTCTTCTTACCTAATTCCATCTTGAATAAATTTGAGCCAACTGGTACAAATTCCTGAGCTTGGATCACAAAGGACTGTGAAGTCTGACTGCCCAGGTCTTGGCCTCTAGAAAGTTTATGTAGGACAGACAAGAAGAAATAAGCCAGTCCAGCTAACTGCTTCTCCCTTTGCTGTTTTACCTCAATTGCTACCTGTTGTAATCCATTCTTTGTGTTTTTGTCATTGTTGGGTATTGTTAAGTCAATCCATCTTGATTTCAACTCATGGTGTTGTTGTCCAGGTTTACTGGGTCTTTGTGTATGTTAGGCGTTGGACTGCTAACCACAAAAGTCAGCAGTTCAAACCCACCAGCCACTCTGAAGGAGATAGATGAGGCTGTCTGCTCCCTTAAAGATTTACAGTCTTGGAAGCCCTATGTAGGGTCACTGTACGTCAGCTCGATGGATGTGGGTTTGGTTTGGTTGTTGTGAATACGGCTAATCCTGGATCAGATGGTCTAGAGAAGCATCGATCATGGAGGCTGCCTTTAAGGAGTGGCATAGTGATAGACAGGGAGAATCTGGAATCTCTCAGGAGGTTTTAGTGGTAATTTATATCCTGTTCAGCCTCATTCCCAGCTTTCCATGGATCGCTCTGGAGAATTTTTGAACTCAGACAAGACATACACCCTAAGTGCTGAATAAGTATTTTTGTTTTTGTTAAGTGCATCGAGTCGGTTCCAACTAATAGCTCTTAGGGTTTCCTAAGAGTTTCTTTTAATAACATACTATTTATCCTGCAGTGCTATTTTAATAACATGATAATTGTGAAACACTGAGAACCTTTCATGTTTCAGACTCCGTGCTTGGCACAGGGAATGTTGTGGATAAAGTAAAATTGAGCATGATTGTTAAATGCTATTGAATCAGTTCCGACTCGTAGCGACCCTGTATAGGGTTTCTGAGGAGCAACTGTTGGATTTGAACTGCCAACCTTGTGTTTCGCAGTCCAGTGCTGATCCTTACAGCACCACACCAATCAATAGTTTGCATGGTTAGGCCTTAGAAAAAGGAGAGCTTATACTTCCTAAAATCAAGAATGAAGTTATTGTCCTTATTGCAATTGAGAGTTAATTTAACTTGAAGTTTTCTAGAGGTGAAGGGAGGGAAAATAAACCCTAAACTGGGCTATGAAGCTCACATTGTCTCCTGTCTTTAGTCAGGAGATAGGTTTTTCCCCTTGGCAATATAACTCAGTGAATTTGTCACAATATTGTAAAAAACACATCGGTTAACATAATGAGTAGTTTTATAGGGGACAGAGGAACATTTCTCGTCTCTTGTCAAGTCTCAGTAAGTGCTGATGCCATCATTTTGAATCATGATTAAGGCATTTCTGTGAAGAGCTAAAGTAATTTAACTGAAGTGTTTGTAGTTTTTGTTATGCAACCTGAAACAAAAGGGGGAATTAGAGAAAATGCCTTTTTCCTCCTTCAAATATCAATATTAACAGCTGTGCTTTGGTGAGGGCCATATTCATTATAGACCCTATAGTCATGGAACTGTCTGGATATTTTGTTATATAAACTAAGGGACCTAGCTTGCATTTCTGTTTCTATGAGAGCCCATCTCAAATTTGCTTGGTTATGAGCTTCACAAAAGCCTATAGGAAGAACAATTGTTGTTGTTAAGTGCTGTGGACTTGTCGGTATTGACTCATAGCAACCCTGTAAATATTTATGGGAGCAGAAAGCCTCATCTTTCTCGCATGGAGTACCTGGAAGACTGGAACTACTGACCTTGTGGTTAGCAGTCCTGCTCATAATCCACTACACTATCAGGGCTCCTTATAGGAAGAACCAATGACAGTGCTAAATAAAAGTATCATATACCTCTTCAAGATGTCAGCTCTCACCCCCTCCTTGTTTAGAAGGAAATGGATAAGACAAGACCTTGGAGTGGGAAACAAAGATAATTCTGTTCATTACATGGAGAAGTTAAGAGTTTTTAGGATACCAATGTGTACAGTTTACAATATATTAGTAGTGTTGTTAGATGTTGTCAAGTCAATTCCAAATCATGTATATAGAATAGAACTGTGTTCAAGTCAATTCCAAATCATGTATATAGAATAAATAGAACTGTGTTCAAGTCAATTCCAAATCATGTATATAGAATATATAACCCATGTATATAGAATAGAACTGTGTTCCATGGGGATTTTTGTCCTTTCAATTGTATTTGGTGGTTGTTGTTGAGACTATCTACAGCAAAACCTGCACCATTTCAACGGTTTCTACATATCAATTCAGTGGCATTGATTACATTCTTCAAGTGTGTAACAATTCTCACTCTCCTTGGCTGAGTTGTTCCTCCTCTGTTATAGCATAGGCTCACTGTCCCCTAAGGTTCTTATCTTATCTTTCAGGTTGCTGTTGTTAATTTGATCCAGTGCAAATAGTTCTTAAAAGAGTATAATAGAAAAAGGTAGACATTTTTTTACAAGTTAAGCTGAACTACTGTTTGGTTTTAAGACTTTGGGGGGTATTTTGGTTTAAGGCTTAAAGATGATCTCACAGCAGTAGTTTCAGGGGTTCAGCCACCGTCTAGGAAATCTAGTGTTTATGAGAATTTTAAATTCTGTTCTGCATTTCCCCCCTTTTGATCAGGATACTTCTATGGAAACCATCATCAAAATGTTCATTAATGGTTGTTATTAAGTGCCATCAAGTCAGTTCTGACTCATAGTGACCCTGAATACGGTTTCCGAGGAGCAGCTGGTGTGCTCGAACCACTGACTTGCAGTCCAGTGCATTGACCCACAGTGCTGCTATCCAGTTCTTCTGGTCTTGTGGTAAAAGAGGCAGTTGTTCATGGAGACAACCAGCAGATACAAAGGCCCTGAGGCAGAGATTGTATATGGAGCATCTGAGAAACATCACAACTGAAGCTGGGTGAAGACATGAGGTCAGACAGGGAATGGGGTTCAGATCACGTAGGTCTTTGTGGGTCATTGTGACGACGTACTTTTATTCCTAGTGCAGTGGAAAGCTTTGGATCTGACTTTGTTTAAATGTCTACTGGGTTGAGAATGGTGGAGAGGGTAGAAGCAGGGAGTCCAGTTAGAAAACTATTGTAATCATCTGGACAAGAGGTGAGGGTGGCCTTGGAACAGAGTTGTGGAGGCTGAAGTGGTGAGAAGTGGCAGGTTCCGGTTCCATTTTGAAAGTGGAATCAGTGGGATCTGCTGATGGATTGGAAGTGTGCTGTAAGAGAAAGAGAAGAGTCAAGGATGACTCAAGATTGCCTGAGATGGGGAATACTGCAGGAGGAACAGGCTTTTCAGAGGAGATTAGGAGTGCACTTGTAGGTATGGTAACTTTGAGATTCCTATTAGATGTCCAGTTGAGATGTTACGTAGGAAGTTGAATATATGAATCTGAAACCAGGAGACTGGTCCAAACTGAAGAATGAGAGTAAGATATAATCGACATGTTAGAGACAAGATAAGATCACTTAGAGATCAGCTTGAGGTCCTGGTGTAGCACTGTAGGATAAGCACTGGACTGCTCACCTCAAGGTCAGCATCTTAGACTCATCAGCAACTCCTCAGAAACCCTATATAGGGTTGCTATGAGTTGGAACTCACTCGACAGCATTTAACAACTAGAAATGAGCAGAGATAGAGCCCACTGTGAGGTCTTATGCTTCTCAAAGTTTAAATGAGACAAACAGGGACCAGTAAGAGATAAACAGGGATCAGTTGGCTAGCAGTGAAGTGGGTGGAGAACTGAGAAGGACATTCTAGAAGCCAAGTAGGAAAAGTGTTGCAAAAGGGCAAAGAGGGATCTGCTGCCAAGTGCAGCTGACGACTTACTATCCGTATCATGGAATGGGTTCAAGAGAGAGTAAGAGGGGAGGTATTGTGGATAACAAGTTTTGATAATTTTTTAAAAGTAGCTTTTCTTTAAAGAGAAACAGCTGGCAGAAGATGGGTGGCAGAGGTTTTTGTTGTTTTAAGATAGGAGAAATTACATCATGTTTGTGTGCTAATGGAATTATACAGTGAAGAAAGAAATTGATGATACAGGAGAGAAAGTGGGAATATTGCAGAAGTAGTGTCCTTCAACAGACAGGAGAGCACGGGATCTATCCCCACCAATTAGTGGCTAAGAATGCTTAGATTGGAGTCTTTATGATACAACAGGGGAAAATGCAAGTGTGTGGCACAGATGCTACTAAGTACGAGATGTGGTGGAAGTTCTCTGCTGGTTGGTTGTTTCTCTCCTAGATAAAATAGTAAACAACTCATCCACTGAGAGTGAGGATGATTGTGGAGGTGTTGGACAGTTTAAGGAAGAGTGAATTAGTCACCTTGGAGCAAGAGAAATGAATGTAATCAGAAAATACAGTGTGACAGCTGGACAACAGGAAAGGTCCCACGGAATTTAAAGTAAAATCAACACATATGTGTGTTCATCAGTGCTCATGAGTGGAGATACAGCCAAGCCAGATGGTTGGCTTTAAAGAGGGTGTGGTTTTCTTAGGGAGTCATTATAATGACTAACCAGGAACTTAAGCCTGAAAAGTGAG